CAGCACTTGCAAGAGCAGTTGGACTTAGACCTCTCACCCCTGGAGTACATGCTGAAATGCTACCCAGAGATCAAGGAGAAGGAGGAGATGAGGAAAATCATTGGCAGATATGGTCTGACAGGGAAGCAGCAGGTAAGTGTGAGCTGTTGAGGTTTGCTTTTTGCTCATTAGGGGAGTAGAGCTGCTGTGTTTTCTGTTCCTCCACTGATGTCTGACAGTGTGATACAGTATGCAGCATGGCTCACCGTAGCATCAAAATCCAATCCTTTGAAATTGGAGAAAAAAATGGCTCACAGCAAGACGTGGGTTGGAACGGGTGACCCCCTCAGAATCTGGGTGAAAAGAAGACAAGTTGTGTAGTGCTAGACCTGAGCACACTTTAATTGTAACTTGAACTAGTTCGCTTATCTCTCATTTCTGAGATGAATACCAGCCAGAAGTGTTAGAAGATCTCAGCTGGGTGTGAGGTCCCCTTGGTTCAGACAAGAGGCTCACCAGTGGTACTAGTAAGTCCGAGCATGACGTGCTCCTGTACATCATATGTCACGTGTGTGACAGGAGGTGTCAATGTCACTGCAGTTTAGTGTTGATTTTTGCATTGTTTTTGCCATTTATCACTGCAGAAGTTGAGAGTAGTTTGATGGTTATATCATTGAATACCAGTCAGACCCCAGTCAACTGTCCTTGCACATCTTTGGCACAAGCTGGGTCTTGCTGGGGAGACTCATTCTTCAGAAGCCCCTGGAATTCCCTTGTTCCGTGGGTGGGAGAAGCTCAGTGTAGGTATAAGGCTGACTGAACGTTTGTCCTCTTGTGTCATGGAGCTGCTGGGAGCCCAGGGTGAGACCCAAGTGTTCTGGGTCAGGGTGGCAGGCTGTGAGGTGCCTGCAGAGCCCGAGCTGTGTCTGTGTTGGCAGGTGAGCCCCATCAGGAACCTCTCGGATGGGCAGAAGTGCCGTGTGTGCTTCGCCTGGCTGGCCTGGCAGAACCCCCACATGCTCTTCCTGGACGAGCCCACCAACCACCTGGACATAGAAACCATAGATGCTCTGGCAGATGCTATCAATGAGTTTGAAGGAGGAATGATGCTTGTCAGCCATGACTTCAGACTCATCCAGCAGGTAACGAAAGTCATGAATTTTGTCAGAACACCTTTTTAACACTTTAAGTAATTAAAACAAGGTGTTTTCAACTCACTGGCTTTTACATATCCCAAAAAGATGGGTGAGTGAAAAAAAATCACTGCACGCAATTCCTTTACTGTGTTCATGTTAAACAATTATTGAGATAGCCCAGGAAAATATTAGGAACTTGAAATATAGAAAAAAACCTAGCACAAATGTCAAATACTGATTTGTCAGCTATAGCTTTGGCCACAACTTCAGGTATAATTTTATTTTTCAGTGTGTTATATCCAAGTAGTTCAGGTCAAGAACTACTTTTGTTTCAATTCCCAGTTTAGCAAGAAAGGCTTTTCTTCTTAATGCATGAACGAAATCAGAAATGTAGAGGGGTCCAGGATTTTCAGTTATAAAATCTTGTATAAATTATGCAGAAAAAAACAAGGAAGATGTTTCTCTGCAGATGCTTTGTTTGGTAGTTGAAATGTGAGAGTTACCGAACTTTTCTTGCCAGACTTCAGAGAATAGTTTTCAGTTAACTTTATCATTTTGATAAGATAGTAAAATGCTGTACTGCAAACCTCTCCTCCTCCTCCTCGTGTGCTTGTTCTCAGGTCGCGCAGGAGATCTGGGTCTGTGAGAAGCAGACAATCACCAAGTGGCAAGGGGACATCCTTGCCTACAAGGAACATCTCAAGTCCAAGCTGGTGGATGAGGACCCGCAGCTCACCAAACGGACCCACAACGTGTGAGCTGAGGAGCCCCTGGCCTCGGTGCTCTGTGGGGCCGGCGGTGGCCACGAGTCACCCGCCCGCCGGCAGGAGCGGGACTGCTGCTCTCGCTGGCTTTGTTCTAGGATTGCTGCAATACTGCTTCCCCTCGACTTGCCTTGCACCTCTGTGTCTGGACAGAGCTCTTCTCTCCCAGTCTGGCTACATTTGGGCAACCGTTTCCATATTAAGATGATGTCCCATCCGAGCCAGGCCCTGGAATCTGATGGCCCAGGGTCACGGCAGCGGCCGTCAGGGTGTCTGAGCTGCAGTGTAACACAGGTGGAGACCCCAGCCCAGCTTCTCCTGCCTCTTCCTTCCCAATTTCTGCTTCAGTTTAGATACTTCACTTCAAACTTCTCTGGCCTTGGTTTGTTTTTAACTATTATTTAACAGTGTAATTAACAGATCTGCCTGAGAATCCATCAGTCAATAAAGAGGGAAGAACAATCTTGTCTTGTTTTGTGAGCTGTGGTAGTTGGGGCTTGCAGTGGCTGAGCTTTAAGTGAGGATCAACCCTTCCTGCTGAAGGTTCAGTTCCTCAGTACAGCCAAAGCTGTGGCAGAACTTGAGGGTTACATGAAGTGGTGAGTACTGAGCTCTGCAGGCACTAAGCAGTGAGCAGGACCCTCACACCTGGGACACCTCTGCTCAGCCAGAGCCAACACCGGGTTTCCAGCAGGTGACAGAAGGGGGAACAAGCCACTGATGCTTCTGTTGTAGATGGTGGCAGACACAAATTGAAAGGGTTGTGGATATCAAAGTCAGAAACACAATGTAGATCTATGGAACACCAGCATGTGTCCTCTGCAACACAGTGGCTCAGGTGTGGCTTTTTCCTTCTCCATGAATTGTCTAATAATGAGACTCAGTAATGTAGGATTTCTGGACTATGAGTTATTTTGTCCTTGCAAGTTTCTTGCAGACTAACCAACTAAACTTATTTTGTTTGCAATAACAGATTTTTGAAAAAGTTGGTGTTTAAACCTCGCCCTGTGCCACAGAAGCTTGAATAAAACAAATTTTTAATTTATAATTAAAGCAACTAAAAAGTACTAAAGGGAAAGGTAGCAAATCAAACCAAATAGATTCTTTTGATCATGAGTTATCATGACACATGAGAATGGCTGCACTGGTCATGTGAAGGGTTCACGTAGCCCAGCAGCCTCTCCAGGACCACATGCTGCCAGGGGAGAGAAAGGACAGGACAAATGTAGGAGCTGTGCTCCCTTGCAGTGCTTCCTCCAGTGCCAGCTGACTGACTTTGACTTTTTGGGTAGAGCATTTCCTTGGTTTTCTTTCCTAAAGGGCCTATCGAAGTTAGGCTGTGCTGCTGTGGAAGCACTGTGTGTCAGTCATAGGACAAATGTCACAACAGGAGCTGCTTCCAGTAGATAAAGCAGAACCTTCAGGTTTTTCACTGTTTTTAGCAATGATCTGAGAGGAGAACAAAAAAAGTAGTTTCTGATAAAATAATGCAGATAAATCATTGTATACTATATATTATTATATAGTATAAATGCTTCCAACTTAGTTCTGCAGAAAAGTCTAGATAGCAGTGAAAAGTCACTTGGATGAATATCTCACAGTGGAGTACTCCAAAGTTGTGAGGTGGAGTGGGGGAGTAAAAGCAACCCATAGGGAAGCGATTACTTAAAAAGCTAATGGGTCACAAGAGTTAAACAAGAATAGATTAACGCTTGTCTGTTTGTTCTGCTCTCTGGGTTGTAGGAAGTGTTGGTGAGTTGAAAGGATTGCTAAGTAGCTCTGAAAATGGTGAGGTCAGGGAGTCCTGTCTGAGGCTACAGCTGTTCATCCTGCTCTTCCTTACTCCTACCAAAGACTTGGCAACAAATCACTGCATTTCAGATCTGAGTGGCAATAATAAATGCAGGATACAATCTTACACTGAGTTCTTTGGGAATGTTAAATCCTGAGGAGGGCCTGGGGACACTGGGATGACAGCCAGCATGACAGGCAGTAGTCGAGCATTCAAGAGGAGAGCTGTGTTACCTGTCTGCTGCTGCCAAGAGAGGGGAACTTCTTGGGTCCAGAGATGTCTCTGATTTATAAACAAGGACCACAGGTACATGTTCAAAGCAAAAGCAGCTGTAGCTGCGCTAGAGGTCTCAGTAAGCCAAGACTTGTAAAATGGAATCTATACACATGCTTTATGAGCCTTGATTTAACCTTCATTTGTTCTGTGGTGACACATCATTGGACTGCACTGAAGCAGCTCCCAACAGATGTCGTGGAGCATTGATCTGAGGCAGCCACAAGCTGGGGCAGTGGCATTTAGAGCTGTTTCAGCTGGGACTTTTCTAGTCTTTTACAAAAGCAAAATTATAGATAAATTACAAGAATTGCTCCTTAGTTGCTAGGATGGTCTTTGAAAGAAGTGGCCTAAAGCCTGCACATTTACTCTTGCCTGTGATCTAAAACTGAGGTTGGCTCTAACACAGCCACAGCCAGAAGTGACAGGTGCAGGGTTATGGGATTCCTTTGTCTGTGTGCTGCAAGTAGATCCATACACCACCAAAAACAGCACGAGGGGGAGCCAAGCCCAGCACACAGCAGCACGGACAGCCTCTAGCACATGCAGTCCAGGGAAGCAAATGGTGATTTCCTAAACCTGGGAGTTCAAATCTGACTCTACTGCTCAGTGGATGAGCCTCCACCCTTGCTGTGTAAAGTCTCCCTGTGCCTAATGCCAAGTGATCAGTTGCTGCTCCTCCACCAAAGGGCTTCCTTCTAACTAAACATTTTGTCAGAAAAACCAGCTGTGTGCCTATCACTGCCAGTGCCAGACATGGCAGCAGCTGGGAAGGGATACAACAGCCCCCAGCTCCTTCATCACAAGAGAGCCCGTGTACTATGACCTGAGACCAGGGTCACACAGCTCCCCTTGCAGTGACAAGTCTTCCCCAACACAAAGGTCTCACCTGTTCACAGCTCTGTGAATCAGGGGGTAGTGGAATGTCCGTCAGAGTGGGGACCCTGTGTTGTTCCTTGTCAACACACAGCCTCTTACAAAGCACAAGTGGTGATGTCACCTGCTCCTTAGTCCCAGTATGAGTCCCTCCCATTCCCAGAGTATTCCACTGCCCTGTATCTTCAAGCCCATTCTTCTTCACAAAGAGCTGCCATGACCGTTCCAGCCTGTCCTGCCTGATCACTAATGTTTCAGTTCCTGGGAGCAAGAGGCCCTTCTGTGACACTGAACAACCTGCCCCGCCCTGTCACAGTGACGGTTGTTTGCACTCACGGAGGGTGATCAGGTGCCTCCCCAGGAGGACAGGCCAGAGTACAACAGTTCAGTGAAACACTGTGGGCTGCACAAGCAGAAGCAGAGTCACTGGTTGATGACTGGGTCTCCCAGGCTCACTCCTTGGAAGAGGTGATTTGCTCAAATGTGCCAGTATGGCATGTGCCCCTAAGCAGGAGACTGCGCACGGCAGCACAGAGACCCCGGCGTGTCCCCCTCCTGGAAGAGCATACTGGCACGGTCCTTCTATGAAATTGCTGTTGTGATGCCTGCTGAAATGTTTCCATTTCCCTCCAAAGGACAGAAAACTCTATTTTCTCTACTCTACTCTGTTGCTACACGTCTTCCTAGCTTAGCCTGATTCCTGTGTCATATTTACTCTTGCTGGTGTGATCGCTGGTTTACAAGACAGATCAAATCCATACGTGGGATGTCAGCCCTCCCCTGCCTCCCTGCTGGCATTCCAGGCCCTGTTTGGTGCAGCAGGTGGAGTCCTAAGAGCCGGTAGCTGAGATAGCAGGGGAATCTGGCTGGTGGGGAGTTTACAACGCAGTGACATTCCCTCCCATTACCGAGTTCCCGCTGAGGGCGGTACTTGTTCCATAGCACAGATGTGATTCCACCCATTTGACTCTGGAGTACCTTGAATACTCTAGTTCACACCCTTGCACCAAAGGAGGATCTCTTCTTTCACCAAACCCCTGGTGGACCTGGGAATGGCTCTTCTCTGGCAATTTTTCCCTGTGAATCTGATGCTACTGCTCTTGCCTCCCTCTTTGCCCAGGTTACCCTCAAACTTTTTCTCAGGTCTGAAAGTTTAATTGAATCTGTCACTTCAAAGCTCCTCTCAGGCCAACCACCCTTCATTTAGTGCCCAGAGAAATCATCAGCCACAGGTGTGTACTGCTCCTGCTCCCTGGGGGGGGCTGCACCTGAGGCAGGTTAGGGTCTGCGGCCTGTGCTATATAGCCAGCCCCATGGCACCTGCTGGTTGCTCTGTTGGAGGCTGAGATGAGCTCAGAACCTAGGAAGAAGCGTGATCGTGTTTCCATCTCTGGGGACAGAATATCTAAGAGGACACCTAAGAGAAAGGAAACCTTTTCAGTCTATATTTACAAAGTACTGAAGCAGGTGAGTAAATATTTCTTTTCTGCTAGAAACTGCTTTATCCCTGAAGTTACTTTTACCCATTGCATGTTAACACTACAAGAGGAAGGAAGGAAAGAAATCTGCTTTTTAGTGAGATGAAAAAAAAGGTGAGTGGGTACAGGAGAGCCCCAGTTGAGGCTCAGAAGCTGGGGGGGGGAACAGATTCTGGGGGTGGGAGACAATAGATGGATCTAGAGCAGAAAGGGTTTCCTAGAGAGAGCAAGTGCTGCTGTATGGCTCTGCTTGAAGAAGTAATTGAATAGAAGTAAAGAGGGCAGGAACAGCTCCTGCTGGGCTTGTGAGTAGGTGTTAAAATCTCTGGTGAGATGAGAAAAAGAGATTTTGGAATTGGCAATGCACTGTCTAGGCCACAGTCATCAGCATGAGCCTGTAGCAGGTTCTGGAAACTGGGGTGTTTTCATCCCTCGGAGTCTTGTTTTCCACAGGGATTGTGGGGGGGCTCCCATCGTGCAATCCCAAAGCTACTGTGGCATTATGGGAACCTCTCTTCAGTCTAATGCAAGTGGCCCATGACTTGAGACCCTCAGGGTGGCAGCTGTGGGTCCCTTTGGTGTTAGAGTGCCCTGTCTGGGATGGGAAGCAGGGCCCTGCTTTTCTGGGGTGGCTGGGTCCCTGTTCCCCCCAGGGTGACGGGTGTGTGAAACGGGGTTCGGTTACCCCCCGGTAGGTGCACCCAGACCTCACCATCTCCTCCAAGGCCATGAGCATCATGAACTCCTTTATCAACGACATGTTCGAGCGCTTGGCCTCGGAGGCCTCGCACCTGGCCCAGTACAGCCACCGCTCCACCATCACCAGCCGCGAGGTGCAGACGGCGGCCCGGCTCCTGCTGCCCGGCGAGCTGGCCAAGCACGCCGTCTCCGAGGGCACCAAGGCCGTCACCAAATACACCAGCAGCAAGTGACCACCCGGCCCCAGGGAAACCAGCCCGGGCCCCGCTTCTTGTGGAGTCTTGCAGGAGCTGGTATTCAGTCTTACTCAACTGAGAAAGCAAAGCCTCCTGTTGGCTGCCTGCAAATAAAAAAAGCATAGAAATACACATTGTGTCTTTAATTTTGGTGTTGCAAAGTGTGAGGCAGTTTGAACTGGGGGGGGGTGGGGGAGTGTTTGGTAGGGCTGGAAGAACAGCTGCTGTTTGAAAACAACCACACACAAGTAGGAGCAGGGACCACAGGGCATGCCTGAGGAGAGCTAGGGCTGTTCTGGGAAGCAGAGTGAGTTCTCCACAGTTCTCCAAACTCTTTATCCTGGTTTTCAGATTCCTGACTGCTAAAAGCTTCTGTTGTCTTTGACTTTCCTGTGGTTCTTCAAGTGCTTCCTTACTTGATGGGTGTCTTTGCCCAGGTTGTCAGTTGGTACTGGTCAGAGCAGAAGCTGAATCCCTCTGGGTAAGTGGAGTGTAGTTAGCAGTGGTAAGGGGGTTTCTCATGTTTATAAGCTGTTTTCAAAGGTAAAGGGTTTTTTTCTGACGGGTTTTTCCTTGGGTTTTTATTTTGGTTTTGTTTGTTGTTGTTTGGTTTTCTGTTGTTTGGGTTTTTTCCTCCTGGTGAAGGCTTTCTCCCTTTTAGGTAGGGGAGACAAACAAAGCCAAATGAGCTGGACTGACAGGAGAAACAAACAGTATCTTCTTTCTAGGACTTGTAGCCTTTGCCTCCACTTGCTTTGAAGAGAACTTTGTCTTGCAGGGCTCTAAACTGGGCTAGGGCTGTGTGTCCTGTGTTCTGTCTTGTATTATCGTGTTAATAACTGGCTCTGGCCGCCTTTTCTTGTATTCCCAAGTGCTTCCTATGGGAATGATCCAGGGCCCTGCAGGCAGCATGAACAGGTTCTCTGTCCACATGGAGCTTGGGAATCCCTCAGGGTGAAGTGTTGTGTCCAGAGTGATGGTGCAGGCGATGACCTCCAGAGCTGTGGTGGGGATGAGCACAGCACCTTCTTGGGGTGTGTGGGGCTGTCCTGGGTTCCTGCACAGAGGTGCTGCCTCAGTGTCTGCAGTGGAAAGGAAAGGCGTGGGGCATATTCTGGGTGGAGTTGTGGTGGAGATCATAGAGTAATCTGGGTTGGATGAGACCCTAAAGTCCATCCAGTTCCACCCCCATGCCTGGGGCTGGGTCACCTTCCACTGTGCCTGTCCAACCCGGTCTTGAACACTTGGGGCATCTGTAACTTCTCTGGGCAGCCTGTTCCAGTGCCTCTTCCCAGCTTCACGTTGGACTGGATGTCTGACTCTAACATCTGTTCACAGCCAACAACAGGGTAGGAGTAACCAGGAGGAACCAGAGCTGTGTTTAGTCCAAGGTGACAGTATGTGGGGCAATCCTGGATTTCACAAACTTGTGAGGTGATGCTGAGTCTCATGAGCTATGGAGCTGTGATGGGTACTGATCTGCCTGGCTTGGCAGTGTGGGCCAGACAAGATGTCCATGATGTTCCTCAGGAGAGTATAGGAGGCAGCAGGGTTGGGGCTGAGCATCATCCTGTCAGACCTAGACCTGCTGCTGTGGACTGTGGCTGGCTGGGGGAGGGAGGAAAGGGGCTGCACTGGGTACTCTGTTTCCTTTTGGCTGTAGGACAGCATTGAAGAGTGCTCCCTTCACCCTGCCGGGCCTGTAAACTGGATCTGAGCACAGGAGTGGAGCAGCACTTTGCCCAACAAGACTGTACTTCTTCTTCTTCCTGTGAGCCTTGTGGTGGCTGTGCTGTAGGGACAGGTTGTGTGACTGGTGCTGGTGGCAGAGCTGCTGCGTCGGGGCTGCCCCTGGGCCGGGTTTTTGGGGTCGCTCAGCTGGATGCAGCGATTGGAGACAGGTCTGACACAGCTCAGCCTGAGAGTGGGACGCTGAGCAAGCTCCACTTGCATCGAACAGGTGAGCAGCCCATCTCCTTGCCCAGTCTATTGCTCCATAGGCCATGTATCTGTGCTTGCTCTCTTTTCCAGCTGCTCTCCCGTTTCCCCAGCAGTGGGATGTGCAGCTGTGCTCTCTGGGAGACGAGGAATGCTGAGGAGCAGCCTGGAGCTGCAGTTCTGCTCCTGACCTGGAGATGGGTCTGTCTGACTACCTGATCTCAGATCCATTCCTGCAGCATGGGAAGGATCCCTGTGCTGCTCTGCTTGGAGCAGGCTGCCTGTGGACTGTGCAACTTCCCTCCCTGGTACCCTGGCTCTCTTGACAGATACCCACACAACCAACCAGGAAAGGTGCCGATTTATGGCAAGATGAGCAGCTGTTCCCTGGAGGTGTCTGGTGGAGCATTAGCACTGAGCGAGCCCCCGAGGAGTAAGGCTTTAATGGTGCAAGTGCTTGATTCTCCAATACTTAAATTTGAGCATCCTACTTCATGTTATACCTGCCCCCTATCCTGTCACTGAAGGCTTGAAGAATGGAGTTGGTGAATGGCCTCACATTCCTCTTACTAGATCCCTGCATTTCCTTGCAGATGGGGACAGGTAGTGCAGATGAACCAAGACTGAGAGGCAGAAGGAGGAGGTTGCTCTTGGAATGGGTGAGTTCTGCACTCAACCTGCCCAGACTGTCCCTTTCACATTTTCCACGTGGAGGTGGGTTCATCTCTAGGTATGCAGGGATCCTGCTACTTGTCTCCCCATAGTATATTCCCATGGAGCTGCTCTGGGATGCCTGCACAGGATGTCGTTCATGGTCTTCCTGAGGGATCACTCTGTGCTGACACAGATTAGCTTTGGTGAGAACTGCTCCTCAGCTCAGCTGTTTCCAGACTGGAGTTGTGGCTCCATGCCCTTGTCCTAGTGGATCCAGCGAGATCTGGATGAAGTTGTTTTGGGAGGAGGGGTAGACTGCCATCCAGCACAGATTCACAGGATACTGGTTGCTGTGAGAATGACCCAGAAGCACTCAAGTTGCAATAAAAGCAAAGCTTAACTCGGAGCCTGTGCAGGCTCTTTTCCAAAGTATCCTGTGGCTGCCTTACTCCATGTGAGTCTCTGTCTAGATCTGCCTGTGTCCTCACAAGTCTCCCAGGGAGGCTTTTTTAGTGCTGTAACACTGCAGTGCTGTCATGTTGCATGTTCCTGGCCCCCTGTCTGTGTTTTTAATGAGCTATGCATGTCTATGGGTTAGAAGAAACTTTTTTTTTTTTTTTTTTGCCTTGGTCCGCTCTTCAACCTCTCAAAAAGAGTACTAGAGTGTGACAAACTGAATGACTGTTCATAAAAATATCATCAATGCCTATGTTCTGTTTTCCATTCTGTAAGAGAGCAATGGCTTAAGAGCATGTGCTCTTCCCCTCACGTGGTGGAGGACCATGAGGCAGAGCATCCCTCTGGTCTGTTATGAGTGGAGCAGGTTTGAGGGGAGGGAGCTTCTTGGGCAGTGGAGGCTGGCAGCAGCATGCAGACCTGTGTGTATTCCTTTCCCCATGTTGTGTCCCTTGGCAACCATGCTGCCAGGTGGCTGCTCCGGTGCATCATTAGACACTGTTCCAAATAGCAGAGGCTAGAACGGTTCAGCACTCAAAGGAAAATGAGCCAGTGATGGATAGCTCTAGTGATGCCAAAGCTGTTAAAATATGAACTCCTGATGTACAGCCAGAGTTCCAGCAAGGGACTCTCATCCTCTCTGTGCTTAACTGCTGGTGTGTGGGGACAGTGCTGGTCTGTGGCCCTTCCCTTCTCTGTTTAATCGGAGGTAGGGTGTTGTCCCTGAGTAATGGTAGCTCGTGGTGGCCTGGGCTCCCTGCCTGGAGGAAGGGAGATGAGTGATGATCAAAGGTCAGGCAGACACTCCCCTGTGAGTACACACAGTGCTGCATGAGGTTTTCGTCCCTAGTGCTGCCTGTACTGTAATGGGATTGAGGGTCCATGGCATCCTTGGAGTTGTGTCTCCATCTATGTTCTCCCCAGCAAGGATTGCTGCAAATAGTTTGTTTCTTTGTTTTTTCTCTCTTTGTGCTCCATTTGTTCTGGAGTCTAGGATGTAGCCAACAATAATGCTGCTTCCTTCATCTCCCCTGCTTGGGAATGTGCTGGGGGTGAGGGAGGTATTCAGAAGTTAATTATCATGGCTAGGCTTCGTGAACGAAGAAGTTAATTAAGTGAGAAAGTAAATCTTATGTTGTAACTGTGGCTTCCAGGACCATATAACTTGGGTCAGGAGGCATCCCTGTTCTCATGTCCTCTCTGTGCAGCCCTGTATTACCTGCTGCTGAACTGGGGCAAACTGAAAGACCTGCAGTGGGGTGAGGTGCTCCCTGATGTGGAGCTGCAGCCAGGAGAGCCCCAGGGGCTGACTAGCAGTGCCCCTCAGGCCAGGCTGAGTGCTGCTCTGGGGTCAGAGACAGCGGGATGGGGTCAAAGGGTGTGTTCTCACGTAAGCAACCTGTGTTGAGCTGGTCCCATGATTGGTACCAGTGGTGTGCTGCTTGGCCTCCGACAAGGAGAACACTTCCCTTTGGCCCCATGCAGGCTGTGGGGCTGGAGAAGAGGGTGACATGGGCAGAGTGGCCCCATGAGGAATGGCTGCTGCAGGCCACACGCCGTTTTCCCATTAGTGAGTGTTTAGTTCAGCGTTTTAAATAATTGTGTCCTCGGAATGATATTTAAAATCCATTTGGGAGGCAATGAGGCGGGAAAGTGCCTGTGCCATTGTGATGACGCTGCGCAGGCCGCGCCACACATGCATATTACAAACTCGTTACAGGCTCGTTTACACGCGCTGCTCCCTCCCCACACCGCCGAGGCTCCGAGTGCTTCTCCCCCACCATGACTGCTGGGCTTGGCTCTGTGGAGATGTTTGTTTGGAAAGGTAGGCCTGGTGTCCTCTGCAGCAGGAGAAGGGGCACAGCTGGGGTGCAGCAGTTGGGTGCTGCCCTTTAGGACAGGGATGTGTGGGGCACACCTGATGATGGGACTGTCGCTCAGATGTCCTC